TAATTTTGTTGTTTTTCTGAGTGGTTGTTGTCAGCACGATGCTAAACAATGCATATGGAATCCCGTTAACGCACATGTTTTTATACCCATTCTTGGGTAGTGAAATGCATGGGGCTTGTATAAAAGTCAACTTTTGCATGGAATGCATGCTTTTCTGTAGCAGTTGCGTTTTTGTGACTTGATTCTATACATGTACTACAATATTGAAAACCAAACTTTACTTGTTTGAAAAATACACTAAGATATTGGTGTCACAGGAACTATTGTTGTTGAGTATATATCCAGAAAAAATATGATCACTTTTCAGGACAAACGGTAATACTCAGCGTATTTTGGTAGGAAAAACAAACCAAAAAGAAAGGAGATGGTGGAGGGTTACACCAGAATTGCCACCGACATTCAAGAAATCTCATTGAAGCTCATCTCGTGAATTAGATTATGGAAAACGGCAATGAAACACAAGGACCTGGTCGGGAGACGTGTGCGCCGAAGTCAAAGGACACCCGCTACGTTCGCCGAACTGGTCCAAGGGTTCCAAGAGGGATGGACTGACTCCCTCAAATTGTCATTGGGTGATTGATTCGGACCATGCCACTTCGTATTAACCAATGTTTGACCAATCGATGGGACATGCCCATTATTGATCAAGTCATCTTCAAAGTTCGTTTTTTTACTGCACCCGGTTCGCTCCGATTATGTTTTTAGGTTTGTCAGCACCATACCCGTGCTCGTGGGTTTCACCGAAGTGGTAAACGTCTGAGACTTGCATCACTTCGGGCTTTCCTCCCACATTAAGCTGACACGTCGCGATATAACTGGAATACTGTTAAAAGCGGCGTTAAAACCAGCTCACTCACTAACTCATTTACCCATCACCGTTACTCGATACCTCTTGGTTTTCCAGTAATAATCTGTTATTTTCGAATATTACCTTCCTTGTTTGAGAGTATATTAGGGATTCTCATTGTATGTCCACAACTGTTTAAACTATTTAAAATATATAGCTGGAATATTGCTTAATGCGGCGTAAACAACGAACAAATATACAACAAAAATATAAATGTAATTAAATATTTTTAATGAATTCATAATTCAGGCACACCCTCGGTATAAATTAATACTATGCGTATGTTGTTTTGTCATAAGAATTGTTAATAGTATCGAATATCGAGCTACTTTTGGTGCATATCACTAATATTTTGCCTTCAACTAATTAGAAATTGTTATTCTAAATGAACTGGTATCATTTAAAACATAATTTGATTCTTGAATAAGCTAGATGACTGGCAAAATGGCTGCCGAAATATTATACAAATCAACGAATGTGTAATTCTCTTAGGGATTACTGATTATTCTGAATTTTCAAAAGTGAATATTGGTTCAAGGATTTCTTCACATACATACAGTGAGTTTTGGTTTCTTCCTCATCATTAATAACACGGTTAGTGAGTGGGTTAAAGCATACACTGGAGCTATAGTGAGGGAGTGAGTTGGATTTAACAGTATTACAGTTATATCGCTTAATGTGGGAAGAAAGCCCGAAGTGATGCAGGTCTCATACGTTTACCACTTCGGTGAAACCCACGAGCAAGGGCATGGTGCTGACAAACCTAGAAACACAATCGTGGCGAACTGGGATTCAAACATACACTCATAGGTTTCTGGCGTGCCTGAGGGACGCAACTCTGCACAGCGAATCGCGGCACCTTGGACGACTGGGCCACCCGTGTCCCCCTGGAGCTACAGGAGCAGAATACTATGGAAGGTAACTGCAACCACATCGATTTGTCCTACACGATGTGTCACTACCAAATGTGCACTTCACAAGTTTCAAAATATATTGTGGTGCTAGAGAAACACTTTCAGGTGCAGTAACTGTAAGTAGGCACTTTGATGTAATGTCTTTATGGAAACAAACTGGGTTGGAGCCAACACAGGAGGGTCTGGCTGTAAAGCCGTCTTCCACACACTGGTTTGGAGATGTGCCTGCTTCACCTTTTCCAAAAAGGCTTCATCTGTTGGCGGTAAAGTTGAGAGCTGAGGAATTTGAGAACAGCCTCTTCCAGCAATGCTTGCCCAAACTTGTAAGCGAGCTTCTATGACAGATGTGCAGTTCGATTTGCCATAGCAGACTGGAATGAATTGAGCTGCTTGTAAAGAGATTCCATGTAAATCTGCTGTAGGATCTCCAAGCAGTGAAAGAGAGTGACCATCTTTTAATGCCTTAAACACTTTTCCTTTAACAATCCCCAGACATGATGCTGTTGTATCACATCCACTCAATGCATGTGCTGCAAGTAGGTCTAGAACAATAGGTTCATTTTTGGAAACAGAAGCTCCAATGTCAATAGCAGTGGACTCTGGAACAGGTGACTCCATGTCCGGGGAGGTAAGATTGTTTATACCTTTATGTGATGAACACTACTGCTGGTATTTGTTGCTATTCCCTGCCATGTGAGAATCTATCTGGATACACCCACATCACATGAAGGGCAACTCAAGTTGTTGATCACAGGTGAATACTGTGATCTCTTGACCTGTCATTTGAGTCTGACACTGAGCCTCAACTAAGGAAGTCATCATAGTATCAGGGTGTGATGGAGTCATGTCTATAAATGGTGGGTACATAGCATAGGTGCTTGGTTTCAAGGTTCCACCATTTTCCCGACATTGAATTCTAGGCACTGGTCCGTTGTAACTGCATCCTTTAGGAACAGAAGTCCTTCTTAGCTTCATTTGATGACACAACACGTTGGCATAATACCTTCAAAAGCAGTGGTGACTTCAGTCTTGCAATTTCAGGCCTTGGTGGCTTCTCGGGACCATGGTAGCGAGTAATGACAGGCTCATAGTCATTGGGAACTTGCATATCTTCCTTTCTAATTCGCGTGATCAGAGCTTTGTTGTCAGATGATGATTGTTATTACATCATGTGTGTCATCAGTCAGATTCATAACCTAGAATGTGTACTTAAACAAATCCAGCAATAAAAAAACTTTATCCCCAAAGTCTAGGTTTTGGTTCTCTTTGCCGGACAACACAGAACGCAAACTCATTTGTTTTGTGACTGTTATAACATGGACTTTATATAAGCCAGCCACTTTTGTATGTTGCAAAGTTGTAAATGCCGTACATGGCATTAAAACACATCTGTGACGACACTCTATTGTTTATCGATCCATTACTTTTTAAAAAAGGATAGTTGGTTGGTTGTTATTCGTAACTGCATATCTTGAACCCACATTTTAATTAATGTACATTTGGAATTGACGGAACTGGTTTTCAATTTGACACTCAAGGAGTGGTTTCGTCTGAATCGTTCAAAGGACGATATGTTATGATTGAGTGAGTGAGTAAGTGAGTCTGGCTGGGTTTACGCCGCTGTTTTTCCAGCAATATATCAAGTCGAGGGACACCACAAAAGGGCTTAACACATTGTACCCGTGTCGTGAATCGCACCCGGTGTGACGAGTGAACGCTTCAACTACTAAAGGTTTGTCATGATTATGTAATGGGTTTTGTCGCTCTTCTCTTCAAATTTTGTTGGACATCCGGCGTCACAAGCGGGGCTCGAACTCACACCGTATGATTTGAGAATATATGTAATAGCCGACCTCGCCTATGGCGACACATTTCAGAACGATATAGAAATAACTGGTAAAAATATTTTTGAGTCATTTGCATCTGCCTTAAAGACTTGGAACAATATGTTTAATGTTTGGTTACATAATGTTACCTATGACCTATTTAGATGATGAGAAAACTATAAACAACCTGGTTTACAACTTCAGAAAAACCAATTTAACAATTTTGTCGCGAATTGTCAGTATTAATAACATATTTTTGTGCTTGTGTAATGAAGAGTCAAGCTCTGTTTGTTATACCACAAGCTGTTACAATAGGACCTGCTTTGATCATTCAAAATAAATCTATATTTTATCACATGCATGACACTGACCTTTAATTCCGTTTGAACATGTGTCTTTTGTCATACGTGTGTCAATGTCGATTTATGTTTTAAATAGAGAGTACACGGATCATATACAGTGTCCTGCTTGGAGCAAATATACATGTAGGTGTTTAGATTTCCAAAGTAATCAATGCAGCTATCACTTTAAAGTGCAATGGAATTATGGATTTAACTAACACCCTTATATCACATTTTGCAGTAATATTTCAAACACATTGTCGTGCACATTGCTGCTCGGACATGACATAAGAACAATGTGTATTGTAGCACTTCTGTATTTGTTCGTGCAGCTGTTGTTGTTATATGTTCTACATATGATTTAGTGGTATTTTCTTTATCTGAGATATTTGCGATTTGTTTTATTGTTTTTAGCAGGTTTTAAGCTTACCATTATATTCGGTTCCCAAGACTCTATTGCTTGCCTCGTAATTGAATCGGGTGGTCTGACTTGGTGAGTTGGTTGATTGAATGTTATCGCACCAGACGGCGCTGGACGTTGCTGATATCAACCACTGAGCCTCGCCCGGGCTCATTGACTTAAAGACTGGTACCTCTGAGGAGAAACTAATTTACAAATTGCAGTGATGCATTACATTAATGCCTGTTACCATGGCAATGGGAAATTATTACTGTGAGATAATATTACACACTATCCTCCCACACCAAACAATCCACTCTGAATATTCGGGATAGAACTGGTTGATGCATGTTATCGTATCCCTATTGCGTAGATTGATGTTCATGATGTCAACCACTGGGGCAAAAATTATTCACTGCATGTAACAATCCTCTCGCTGTTGCCGGGCTTCGAGCTATGTGATACACATTGATCATATCAAATGTCAGTGGCACTGGTGCATTGAAACACACCTTGTCAAGCAATTGGAAAAAATGGGAATAACGCTAACTATATTGGATTTGGCAGGAGAAAATCAAACATTGAAAACGATATTTAATATGTGAACCAATGACAAAGACGAGTCGTTTTCATCTTCCTATAAAACCCCATAAGTGAATGTCAGCAGTTAAAATGGAGAGAGAGCGCCTGCGTCTGGCATCTGATGCGATGTGTGAAACCCCCATCCACACTGATGGTCTCCATGTCTGGGATGAAGATGATGTGGAGGCAAACAGAGAAGTAGATAATGCCTTCAGAAAGGGAATAACACCATCTGAAGCTACTGAGTTTTATTCCAACTGGGTGGATGACAGTCTGAAGTACGAGAAGGTGAGAACGCATGTGATATAGTTTCAGCTGGCGATACCCTTTGCCACCTACAGCAATACTTTCAGGTCATACATCTTTAGGTTGCAGGCCCGTATACAAGACTTAAGTGAGTTCATATGGACTGTAAAGTCAGTTTTAATATGGTTCCAGGTTGAAACTTTTTACATGGAATTTTAACATAAAGGAAATATTTTGTTCCTAGAAGTACTTTTAATAAAAGTCATTAAACTCTTTCCTCAGTCATAAGAAGAGGTCAATGTTTGACGTCAAGAATATATTAGAATACTAATATAGCCAACTGACGTACCATGTCGCAGTTTTCTCAGGAAAACCCATGAATGAGTCTTTGTATACTCTTAATGCCGAGCGGTATAGGCAGGGTAACACAAATAGCATCTTTAACCGTCTTTTGCAATGACGTGGCCGGAGATCGAACCTCCGGGCATTCACTCTATCCCATAGACCACGAACGAAATGGTTTGTACTTAAATGGTGTTTGTGAAGTCAAATGTCGAAAGGGAGTATAACAACGGTGGAGGTTTTCCTCCTTTTCGCGAACACCTGGGGTCATCACTGATTTTCGGTGATCAATTGTTACCGCTATTTCACTGCCCAGTGGAATCTGTTTCGGAGGATAATCGAGAGTGGTTATTCTCTGGCGTTGACATTTTATATTTCATACATGTATGTGCTGAACAATATTACATGTATAGCAAAGCAGTGACATTGATTGGGACACAGTCGAGCAGACGTTCACCACCCGCAGAGCAGAAACAACTGGGTAAACATGTGAGACGGTTTAAGCAAGGAAGTGAACAGTGTATGCTGTGACGTGGCACGAAACGTACCTCTTGCCAAATATCGCCACTCTGCTTATTTAAAGACATTATGTTGAATTCCTATCCTAAAGTACTGTCGGAAATGCTAGAAAACTGTTTTTTGCCAGGTTAAAAAAGGATATAATTTTTCACAGACTGTTGTTATTGAAATATCGAGTAACTACCGATCGCCCTACCTGTGGTTTGAAGTATTTCATTCACAAGGAGTCCTATCGACAAGTTTACAGGAGACAAATTCGAACGAAAACAGGAAGTTCACATTTATTCAAAGTCCAATGATGGCAGTCTGAAACGGACTATAGAAATATGCGCACGTGACTCCGTTATAATGATAATAATGTAGTCTTCATAAAACATCTAATCCACACACAAAAGTCATTTTGAGAAAATTCTAGATGTGCATCTTCTAAAATGACAAAATGACGTTGCGTTTGTTTTGTTAACATTGCTCCCATGATGCATGTTACATTACACTTGCATAGCCATAACCAAGGTACACGATTTGGAGTCTGTACTGGGAAATGTATACAAGTTCTTTACACTTTAGAGAGATAGAGGGAAACCATTTATTAATTTAGATGAATTACCGAACAGTCAAAGCTATGGGGTTTTCAATTCATAGGATCAAGTCTACGGTATGATAAGAAAACAAAACAGGTATAGGGGTGGTCTCAAAAACAAAACTGGGACGTAAAAGGATATTAGACAGCTTTGATACAGGGTGATTAGGCGTATAGTGTACAAGCTTTATGAGCAGAAGGTAACCCTGACTTGTAGTAGAATTTGGGAGAAATTAAAGATACAATTAATGTTTCCCGGACTGCACTGACTATTACTCTCCAAGAGATGGGATTTCAATACACTGCGCGTGGCGACGACCGAGCACTTTACAGGCGAAAATATTCCATCCTGTCTATTAGGTCACATTTTCTCCGAACCATTCATAACTATCACAGTCAAGGCGTCAAGATAATTTAATAATTTTCATAAGGAAATTATAGGAGGTGATGTGTTCATAGACTTGTTGGAACTTGAGCTATTGCCCATTTTAAACAACGTCAGTGTCATTGTCATGGAAAACGCCAGTTAATATAACGTCAGGGAATCAGATACTGTCGCCCAAACCATGAGTAGTCTGAAGGCGACCAAACAGGAATATATGACATTGTCGACTTCAGACAACAGTTCAACTCATGGGGAAAATTCGGCTGAATAAGAAACCAGTAAAGTACTAGACATGTGTGCTGGCGGCACAACACGGTCACGTTGTCTTATGTACGCCAGTCAGACATTTTGAGCTCAACCCTTGGCTAAGTATAACGGGTTCGTAGCAAGACATAGCACAACATTCAAAAGTACAGATTCATATACGTCATCAGCGGAGATAAATGCTACCTCAAGAAACCATCTGTAGAACAACAAATACTTCTGGATTCCAAAACCGCAACCTTCTAATACTCATCCCGTTTCGTAGCTCTTTACTAGTCTATCATGATTCCAGCAAATATAATGCAGTACATATCCTAAATTGCTACCCCATCAATGCATGTCAGTTAAGTACAATAATAGCAATATTTTGAGACCACCCCCAACTCGGTGACATTTGCACCTGGGAGAATGCACGGGACGGTGAGAGGTCATCACCTCGGGACAGGTGTTAGGTAATTACCTCAGGTTATAGGCCATTTCATACATGCATGACAACACACGAATATTTTCATAGTTGATCATCATTTTACCTGTAAAAGTACATTTTAAGGGTAATCACAATGCCAGTTATGACAGGCTAGATTAGGTCAATTCGCATTATTTTGATATTTGCTCTTTTTAGTCCTGTGACTCGCAATTATTAAATGAAGCCAGAAAAGCAGTTTTCTAGCATTTCCGACAGTACTTTAAGTAGGTAGCCCTACCTGACGATATGGCTAGCGTAATTTTTTGTCCATGCACAAACTAAAATAATAAATTACCATAGAATAGGTGCCAATGGGGGTGCCTAGTATTGAACGATATCAGATCATCGATATACCTGAAGCTTAAGTTAAACTTCTTGGCCAAATAATTAGCTTGTTTTGACTTTGCCAATCCCAGCAGAAATTCCAGTTCATATGCATAAAGGATCAGATCCCCAAGAAGAACACACGTGGTGCCCATGGTGATGCCTACTTCTTGCCTAAATTACTTACCCCAAAATTTTACAAAGATGTTATCAGTGAGGAAGTCCAGCTTTCACATATTGTTTTCTAAGTAAACTCCAGATGGCATTTGATTTTACTTTTGACAAAGTGTCCTTAATCTCTGAAGATGTAACTGTATCTGTGGTCACCACGTTTGTAACACAAGCCCCGTGGATCAAGGAATGAAGTATGTTTCGTGGAATACTGGTCAAGCTTATGTTAAACCTCTTGGCCAAATAACCTTGTGTTGACTTTACCATTCCGAGCAGAAATTCCGATTCATATCCATAAAGAAACAGATCTGCAAGAACGGGAGCATAACAGGTGCCCATGGGGATGACTACTTCTTGCCTAATTGTCTTAACCCTACATTTTACATAGATGTTATCAGTGAAGTCCAGCATTTTACAAAGTGTTTTCTCAGTAAACTTTAGATGGCATTTGCTTTCATTTGAGACAAATAGATCTGAACCTCTGAAGATAGATATGTAACTGTATCTATGGTCACCACGTTTTGTAACAAAAGCCCCATGGATCAAGGAATAAGGTTTTGTCACGTGGAATAGTGGGGACGAAAGTTAAAACAATAAACTGTTTTTACAGAATTGAACCTGGTTCTTTGATCAACAATTTATGTAGTGATGCTTACATAAAATGGTTACGCTACTTGAGGCCTAGTCAGCGGGAACAACTACACACCGTTTCATGTAGGGCAGCCACACTGTAGATGGCAGTTGGCTGGGAGGGAATGGGTTTCTCCAATTCCGTGCATTCTACCAATGATAACATCACACACTGACTTAACCCACTCTGAAAGTCATTCAACAGGTCCCTCTTCTCATGTGGCCCGTTTATTAGCACATGCTTCGACAGCATCCATAATGATTTTAAGGTTGTGATCCCAATTGGTAGGAGGCTGCTCACGGTATTTTGGTTCACATTTGAATAACTGACGAAGGTTGTTATCGTCAACAATTGAGAACTCTTCTGCGATTATTTGACCTAGAGGTTGGTAGCAGTAGGAGTCTTGGCAGCCACAAGTAGTGGAATTTACATCATGAGCTGCCAAGTCCGCGTTCTGCAAAAACCTTCCTATGTAATTGAACAACCTGGATGAAGTAGTGATTTGAAAGGAAATAGTTGTTGGTTCCTGAAGTTTGAAATATTGTGGCACATTTTGGGAAAATGATTATTGTCTGAGAATGGTACTTCAATTCAAGGCGTTGTAAAAATGTTGGAATTAGAACCAGTGTTTGATTGGTCACTCTAACCAAGTATTTATGCGGAGATACATTTTGCGTTCTCTGACACATGACAGACACATACCATTGGTCACTCGTTTCATCATCAGCATTATCAATATCAGAGTCACTTTTTTCTTCTGTCATATCTATATTAGATAGAATGTCTTTCACTTCTGGTTTCAAGAGAACTTTGTCGTTGATGACTGTTTGATCTGTGGTGGGATCCATGTCACTTCATCTATCTAGTATAGAACGAGGTGAGGTGAAGTGAAATTATTGCACTTATACAGCGACGTGTGGTGTGTGTGTGTGAGAGAGAGAGAGAGTGAAAGAGAGAGTGAGTGTATGTGAGAGAGTAAATGTGTGTGAGTATGTGTGTGAGAGAGAGAGTAAATGTGTGAGTGAGTGAGTGATAGTGTGTGAGAGGGAGAGAGAGGGAGAGAGAGAGTAAATGTGTGAGTGAGTGAGTGAGTGTGAGAGAGTGAGAGCGAGTGAGAGAGAGAGTGTGTGTGAGAGAGTAAATGTGTGTGAGCATGTGTGTGTGTGAGAGAGAGAGTAAATGTGAGTGAGTGAGTGTGCGAGAGTGTGAGAGAGTAAATGTGTGTGAGAGAGAGAGAGAGATTCCAGGAACAGGGCATGGATGTACAGGAAACTTTATTGCACTCAAATCGCACATAGGCCTCCACTGTTAATATGATACCAGTAACATGAGAAACTTCACCCAAGCTGAATTTAAACAA